CATCATTCAGTCACTATGTGGAATGAAAAGAAACACCAGGGCCTATCACATCATCTCCACATGTGAATTTTGTTCATGATGAAAGTGTCTAGAAGCATTTCATGGGTCAATTTCATGCAAAACACTTTGGCAGTTGGGCTAACGTCATAAGCCCTATCTGTTAGAAAATGACTAGGTATCCTTTTATCATTTGAGTTAGTTGGCATCAGGTATGCATATATGTCCATGTGTGCTTTATTCAAGATAACAATTCTAGCATCCTAGTCTAGCTTATTTTGTTAGACATTTATTTTCAGAATCTTACACATGAATTCTTAAATCAATAGCAAGTCATTATGCACGCTGGACCAAAAAAAAAAAAAAACTATGCACGCCGGTCATCAATGTCAATTGGTAATACGACATTAATAGATTATGAAACAGAAATAACTCAGCATAATATTCTGTCTTTGGAGATTGAACCATGTGATTGATGGTTCTATCTTCTGAGTTTTTCAGCAGGTCCTTTCTTTTGATAGCATCGTGCTTCAGAAAATGACCGATTTTCTTAGAAGAGGCTCCATATCAGAAAATGCCACAATTTTGAAAACTGCCTGGATCTGGAATAAAAGATAGAACTCTGTGTTTTGTGGTAACTTGAGAATTTGGCCTGTATTGCAGATAACAAGAGTTTACAAGAAAAAAGAGCATGTTGAGGTTGAGTTCACTGTAAGTTTGTCGATCTTATCCTCTGGCATCATCAGGGTGAACGCTATGAAACACTATGTAATAACCTTATCCAAATTCTGCTGGAGCTATGTTATGCTTGCAGGTAGGGCCTATCCCAATTGATGATAATATTGGCAAAGAGGTTGTCACTCAGATTAGAACTACCATAAACAACAATAAGACGTTCTCTACTGATTCTAATGGTCGTGATTTCCTAAAAAGGGTATGTCATTCAGTTGCCCCAAAAGCCAACATTATGTCCTAAAGTACAATTATATCCCTTTGCTATTATTTTGTGCTTATTTCTTCTTTCCCATGTCATTTGTGCTATGATGGGGTGTTGGTGATTCTAATTGTACATTCAGTTGTTCAGATAATCTATGAAAAATTTTCTTGCAGATTCGAGATTACAGAGAAGATTGGGATTTGAAGGTTAATCAACCAGTTGCAGGAAATTATTACCCTGTATGTTCTGGTCATATTGCGCAACCATCTTATCCACACTGTATTAATTGCTCAGTCTTTTCCACTACGTTTTCCTTCCTGCCTAGTTGAACATAATCCGGATGCAAAAACTCGTCTGATAAGCTAATAAATGGAGAGGAAGACTTGAGGTGCTGACCTTGACTTGGATAGCTTTCATGGTTTCTGCAGCAGACTAAATTCATGTAAATTGCAAAGTAACTTTCGAAAACTTCCAATTTAATTAATAGGACAGAGAGCTGATATAATATACTTACAGGGTAAAAATAACCGCAATGGAGACAGTGAACTAAAATGTAATTTTCTTACATATATAGACAGTCTACCCTTAGTTTACATTCAACCGTGTTGCATAAAGTTTGACATCCATCTGAAGATATTAGTCGCTTTTTGTTACATCATTGGATAATATCAAGGTATTTGCCTTTTGCCATTAAGTTAACAGTTGAAATGCATTTCGCCTGCCCGGGATAATATGAAGAATCCACTTTATTTTGTTTTTCACTTTCAGCACACAATTGAAACAAACCCAGATGCTGGCATTCCTTTGTCTAACTCATATGGGCGCAGTCAATTCCGGAGCTGTATATATTATTAACCAGGTTGATAACCTATAAGGTTATCTTTTTGCATGAATTAGTGGCAAAAGAGAATTTTTCAGCTTTGTCAATGTTTTGTCAAATTCTTCAATGGCATGAGTAACATGCTTAAAGTTAACTCGAGAACGCTGAATCCCCTTCTAGCAATGAGTTATGAAACAGGCACATATCAGAATGCGTCAGAAAAAGGTCAATTCAAGCTTCATTGGAAGTAGCTTTTACAATAGACTTTGTTTAAAATGGAAAAACAGAATTTTGCTTGCTAAGATCACGACTAGAAATTCTCCAATCACATCAAATTACTGTTTTAGTCTATGTTTCCTCATTAACTCTTTGAATTACATAAAGATCAATGTGAAAGTAAAAATATTTTACTGCAATCTACTCGGGTGCTAATCATTCTGGTATTGTCCTTCCAGATTAATCTTGGCCTATATATCCGAGATGACAGTACAGAGCTCTCAGTTCTAGTCAATCGACCTGTGGGAGGTTCAAGCATCATTGATGGGCAATTGGAACTAATGCTCCACAGATTTCTTTTATCCCTGTTGCTTTGAACCTCAATAAACAATGATGAATACCATATTCCAGTATACCACTTAGAGATTTGAGATAAGTTTGGATCATACAGGAGGTTACTTCGTGATGATGACAAAGGCATCGCCGAGGCGCTAAATGAAACAATCTGTGTCATTGATGATTGCAGGGGACTCACTGTAAGTGGTACAGGTTCTATTCCTTTGTCTTCAGTCTAAAACCGGTTCTACTTACACATTGTAAGATGTAACATGCAGATCATGGGAAAGCACTACCTGAGAATTGATCCTTCAGGCGAGGGTGCTAAATGGCGTAGAACATTTGGACAGGAGATATATTCTCCGCTTCTACTAGCCTTTACAGAGCAGGTGAAAGAGTAATGTCTTCGTTTCGTTGGTCGTCACTGCAGACAAAATTCATTTATTAGCTTATTATCGTTCTGCAGGGAGGGAACTATGGGGCAAACTCCTATATACCAACCTTTTCAGCATTAGCTTCTTCTTACACCTTACCTGATAATATTGCCCTGATAACCCTCCAGGTTATGAATCTCAATCTATGTTTAGTTTTTGGAAAAGGAAAAGTTTAAGACCAACTTTATAAAGTGTGCTTTGAAATTGTATTTGCAGTTCTTCTAGATATTTGGATCAAAGATTTCTATGTTTCAGCCTGATATTGCCACTTAAAAAACACAAATGATGGAACAAAGAATATCTCCCTCCTTTTGCTAAATCGTTGTTATGTTTCCTCAACCACTGCAGGAGCTGGAGGATGGGAATGTTCTCCTTAGATTGGCACACTTATATGAGGTTCTTACTTTATTTAGATCGTTGCTCTCCAGAGAATTATTTACACGTTCTTAATAAGTCTTGAAGATGTAACTTTCTGTGGTAATTTAAACCCAAGATTGGAGAGGACAAGGATCTCTCAGTTATGGCCAATGTCGAATTGAAGAAACTCTTTCCAGATAAGAAGGTAACAGCAGAATAAAGAGCAACAGTTCGCTGTTGTATGCTGTCGGCCACTTAAGTGATTTGTCTCATGTTATCTTCTCCTGCAATGATTCAGATAAACAGGATAGTGGAGCTTAATTTATCTGCTAACCAAGAAAAAGCGGATATGCTGAAAAGAAGACTGGTGTGGAAAGTAGAAGGCTCTCCTGAAGGAGCCAATCCAGTCAGGGGAGGTCCTGTAGATCCTATAGAACTTGTGGTGGAGCTTGCACCCATGGAGATCCGCACCTATTTTAAACTTTGGCTCTTAAGGGCCACTCAAGTGTAAGAAGTGCGGTGCAAATGTGAGATTTCATCGGACAATTTATAAATCGTGCAGGTTAACCGTCTATAAGGCCATCCTGAACGGTACACGAGCAACTTGGGTAAGTCTATGGAGCATTCATCCCACTTCAGTTTGAAAGGGGAAGGCATATGTTGTATGGGACAAAAATCAGACATCTTCTTACTCGGTCTCTAGTTCTCTCTCTCTTCTCTGGTTTTAATTATTAATCCCCTGCAAATTTCATCTCCACAAGCAGGTCTTCTCAATGGAATGACTCTTCTTCTTGTCAGCCAGCTGGACATTTTGTTGCATATCACCAATGAATCCTAAACACAACAGGTCTCATCTAACAGAAATAGACTCAACATTCCATAACCTACACTTCTAGGTCAACAAAGCATCGTATTTGGCTCCGAACCATGTAGGTATTATTGTCTATCCTATCACATGAGCTAGGATTTCATATTGTAGCTGGGTATATGCAAGAGATAGATCAAGTATAAACTGCCTACATATTTGAGAAACCAGTGAGAGCAAAAAAAGGTTGACATGGCAGCCTTCATTCTCTCCAATTTTGGAAGCTCTTTCGTTGTTATGGGACTGGTGCGTACATTGTCTTATGAATTTGGTACTCCCTCCTAAAGAAAAAGCTGCCTCAACTTTAACATATATGGGGTACCCCCTTCAAATTATAATAAATTCAAGAACCGAAACAAAACATTGGACTTGGAACATCACGTTGTTCCAAGCATCATAGAAAAAGAACCACAGGCTTGATTTCGTGATTTATACCGTCTGACGGACAAGTTATGTGAAACCCACTTCTTGGGTGATTCATCTGCTTTACATATTGGTGCACCACCCCACGAAGAGCATTACTCATGCGATGTTTATAGAGTTCGTCCTCATATGCCAATATAATAACTTCAATCATTCTATCCTTTATACCAGACATACCATAAGAGCGCTTGCAAAGTTAATAATCAAAGCCCTAGGGTAGTTCAAGCGCACATTGCATAACAGGCGTATGCCATGTTATATAACAATGGGCTAGAGCTCACAATACTTAAGACTTTCTACTGACTGTTAATTATGATCGTTCATGGGTGATAAGATGAAAACAATTTTATGTTCCGCCAGAAGAATTCAGCGTAGTAATCACCGAAAACTTGGAGAGGCTGCTTGAAGTGTCTGTCTGTTTGAGATAGATAAGTTACTGCAATATGGACTAATTTCAATGAACACAGGTGCATCAAAGGAGCTATTTCTTGCACTTAGGATATATCCCATACCAACTCTTCCCCTTCTCACGTAAAAACAAAAAAAGATACCGTGACCATTATATCAAGATGATGAAACATCATCATATCATCTGGAGATGTTGCAGCTATGCTCTTATGCCAAAAAGACAATACACTATTACTATTCATATAATACTACAAGATGACACGTTTAAAGAACTGACAACTTTTATTTTTCATTAAGAGAGATACACTCCCCGTCACAATTACCACATGGACATGAACCTAGCGCCTCAATTAAAATTAACGGGACGGCGTAGTTATGCCAACTTGAGCATGGTTGTCATTTGGGAGCAAAGGAGTGTAGTTGAATCTCGAGAAATAACAATTGCATCGGGGACACAAATTGAAATGGCTGTAGTGCTAAACTGACAGCAACCATTGAGTGAGCCCACATAATCACAAGCTTACTGGTATATCCATTGTTTCCACATCTACCACTGCTAAGACCACTCTATCTGTTATTTCCAATTCCACTGCAAGTGAGTCCCTAATGTCTTCCGAGTCGATGAAAAGCACTTATTTTGACAATTGCGGTCATGAAAATCAGCCAGATGGAATCATATCACATTTGAGTGAAAGTTGAAATTAAGTCACCTCCAGTTCCCTTCCATTGCTCACTGCAAATGAAAGATTTTAATTAAAGTGATGCCAACAGTATCAGCAATTTGGAACCCAGTAATACACAGAGACTAGAAAACAGAACACCAATTTGAACTGGATGAGCAATCTGAAGACAATCCAAGAGAATCACCGATGCAAGCAAAAAATCGTTATGTGCAGTTGAAGTAAGCAATTTTTCACTACGAACAATAGTCGATGTGGCACTTGGCTTCTGCATACAGATAGCTATCCTTAACAAAAGCCAATAAGCTAGTCAAATGCACAACTACAGCCTAATAAAAATACAAAGAGGTGACTGCTGCCCAATTTGAAAAACTTCATGCAACCCACAAAATAAAACCTGTCTGAGAGATCATCATGACCAAGCGGATGTGTTCATAAATATTAGTTGAAGTTCACTAGACATTTCTGAAGAAATTCATGAAGAGAAAACTGACGAAGGCCATTACAGGTCCATCCCTATCCTTCATTTGCAACTATATGACTGACCTTACATTTTGGAGGCAGCATGAAGAAAAGAACTCCACTGGCAACCTTTATGACTAGTACCATGGCATCAGAACATTCGTCTAGTATATAACTGGGAAGGGATGCACATACTCCTAAACAAAACGTGAATGAAAGGATTAGTTACGTCATCGTTGAGGATGTATCATAGCCGAATTATTATTCAAGCAAGATGCAAAATATAAACCTCTTTGGGCATTATTATGTCGTTTTGGTTCCAAAATTTCTCGCAGTTCTCTGAGGAAGAATGCCGCGTGTAATAAACAATAAACATCTCAAAGAGCGATGACACGCATATCCAGGGCCTTCTTAACCATTGAGTGGTTAATTACTTGAAACTTATAAAGTTTATCGATATCAAGTTGAAGCCTGAGAAGCGACTTTCATCTCTTCTTCTTTAAAGAAGTTCCCCGGGTCATTCTTGTGGCCACCAATTTGACCCTTATAAAAATCACTTAAAACAGTGGACACTGGTAACCATCCAAGCCTAACTGCACTTTCCAGAATCTTTTCTGCTTTTTCCATACTGCCTGCTTTGGCAAATCCACAGACTAAAGTACTACATGTAGTCACACTTAGCTTAGGCTTGCGCTCTCCTATCTTATCGAGTACCGTCAGAATTTCCGGAAAACTTACTTTTCCACACAATGTAGCCAGAAGATCATTATAGACATCTTCACTCATGGAAAAGCCCTTGACAAGCAATTCATCAACAAGCTCAATAGCTTTTGTCAAGTCACCTTCCTTGCAATAAGCATCAACCATCACCGAATAGATTACTTCATCAGGCTCAATCCCTCGGCCCACCATCTCCTCAAAAGCAGCGAATGCTTTGAGTCTGTTCCCAGCTCTGCTCTGACCATTTATTAGCGAAGTATAAGTCACGACATTTGGTGTCAGATTCTGCTGTTGCATCTTGACAAAGAGATCCTCTGCTTTACTTACCATTCCTGCCTTACAAAAATAATCAATGAGAATGGTATAGGTCACATGATTAGGTGCAATGTGCCTATCAACCATAACTTCCACCAAATTCTCAGCTTCACTCAGCTTTCCCAACTTGCTGAAGCCATCAATTACAGCGTTGAAAGAAACAGTAGATGCAAAGCCTTTGTTCACCATATCATTAAACAAAGAAAGAGCCTTCTTTACATTGCCTTCTTTGAAGCAACCATTGATAAGGGCAGAATAAACAAAGCTATCAGGTTCAACTCCCACAGATAGCATCTCATCAAACAAATGGGATGCCTCACCTAAATTGCCAGACTTACAGTATCCATCTATGATTGTAGCGTACGTCACTCTATTAGGAGCCAAGCCTCTAGCTGAAATTCCATCAAACAGCTTCCTAGCTCCAACAACGTCTCCTAACTTACAAAGACCATTAATCAAGGTATTGTAAGTGACAATGTTAGGATTGACACATCTTTGACCCATATCCTCGAGGAGTTGACAAGCATCTGCTAGTTTACCCAGTTTGGACAAACAAGATATAACAGAATTGTAAGTAAAAATATCAGCCACTAGGCCCTTTTCCTGGAGTTCAGAAAAAACCTCCATTGCTTCTTTTAGTTTCCCGTTCTTTGAAAGTCCTTGGATCAACAGTCCGTAAATCTGCACATCTGGGAGCACTTGCCGCTCGAGCATGACCTTAACAACTGTGAATGCTTCTCCGACGTCACCTCCTTTACAATGACCATCAATAAGAGTCGTGCAGATGACACCATTTGGTACTACACCGCAGTCTATCATCTCCATGAAGAATCTGCCAGCTGCCAGCATATCCGCTGCCTTACAATACCCACTGATGAAAGACCCATAAGTATATTCATTAGGCTTGAACCCCTTCTCCGACATTTCAACTAAGTATAGCCTTGCTTCTTCCATCTTGTTGGCTTTGCAGAGCCCCATGATAAGAGAATTATAGCAAAAAACATCAGGTAAAATCCCTCTCCTCTTCATTTCCTCAAAAATTTTCTTTGCATCTTCAAATTTATTTTGTTGGATGTGGCCCTTGATTAGAGTCGTGTAAATAATTGCGTTTGGTTTTACATTTGCACTAATCATCTCATCCAAAAGGCTGTTAGCCGCTTGGAGATGTCCACTGAGGCATAGGCCCTTTATTATCACGGCATAGGTGTAAACTGAGGGTAGCAAGTTTCTACTTTTCATCTCAATCAACATCTCACGAGTCTTAACCATGTCTTGCTTCCTACAGTATTCCTCTATTAGTGGATTATAGCTCTGAGTGTCAGGGCTTGTGCCCACGACAGTCATCTCTTTGAGCAGAGTATTAGCCTTCTCCATGTCACCAATCCTACAAAGACCGGCGATGAGTACGTTGTATGTGGGAACCTTCAACTTTAGACCACGGTCAACCATCAAATCTTTGATTCTGAAAGCCTCATCGACATCACCTTCTTTCATGAACCCATCCAGCAACGCTGTGTAGGTAATTTGTTCAGGATTTAATCCAATATCGAACATTTCGTCAAGTAATGCTTTTGCCTCTCTCGACCTCCTGTGCTTACAAAAGCCATCGATGAGTATGGTGTAAGTATATCGATCGGGTGTAAAACCCTGGCCAGGCATTGCCTTGAGCAAACTTAAACCGTCATCTAGGAGCCCAGATCTGCACAGTCCTCCGATCATTACGTTGAAAGTAACTAAATTGGGGGCACATCCCTTCTTCTTCATGTCAGAAAGCACCTGTTTAGCCCCCTCAGCATCGCCCACCTTGAAGTAAGCAGTGATGAGACTGGTATAGGTGTAAGCGTCAGGAACAACACCGGCCTCCAACATGCCTCCGTAAACCTTCCAAAACAGGGGCATTCTATTGGCCTTGCACAAATCCTTGAGGAGCGTATTGCAACACACTAAACTAGGCACGAGCCCACCATCCTTGGCACCCAAAAAAACGGAGCAAGCTTCGCTCAAAAGCCCTCTCCTTTTGTAAACACTGATGGCAACCTCAAAAACCGCAACGTCGTGACCTCTACTGAATTGACGGTGACTGCAGAGCAAAGAGTCTAATATCTGGGACACCGGCGCCCCAGTATCGATCATACGGTGGGCGACGCCATCGGCGAGAGGAAAGAGCATGGAATCGCAGAGAACGACGGCGATAATGGAGAAGGAATGCAAGTTCTGGGGCCCACCCAGGAAGGAATCGGACCAGCGGAAGAAGCTGAGGAGGCGTTTGGGGTCGCGTACCTGGTTCTGGCGAAGCACGGAGAGCACCACGTCGGGATTGAGCCTCTGGGGAAGGTCGGAGGAACGAAGGAGGAGCTCCCAGTCACGGTGATGGAGGATGGCGGCGATCTCGCTCGCCGTCCCGTGGTGGTCGAGCTGCGAATGCGACGAGGTGGAGAGCGATCGGACGTGCTTGAGGCGAGCGAGTCTTGACATTGACATGGGTCAATGACGAAACTCGATCCTTCGAATATGTGCGTGCGTGGGTGGCTCTGCGGAGGTCGGGATCGCCACTGAAACTGGAGGGCCAGCCGCGACGGGAGAGGGAAGAGATGATGGAGACGACGGCGTCAGGTGGCTTTCCGCATGGGCCGTCATCCCTGGGGCTTGGGCCTTGGAATCCTCGATAGTCGTATCCTTGTTCTTGATCCACTCATGTCTGCCGGGCCGAGTTAGAGGTTCGATCTAAGTTTGTGAAATCCCAGACTTTCATTTTGCACCAACAATGAATCCGTTTGGTTCGGTTTTGGAGAAATGTCATCGGAAAAATGCAAATGCCTTTGGGCTAAAGGGATTTTCAGAAATGCAAATAGTGTTTAGTAAATTGTAATCTTAAAGTGCAATGAGAAACAACTTTGGCTTAAATGGTGTTTAGCAAAATCACACATTGAAAAGCATTTTTTCCTTTTTAGGAAAAAAAACACACACACAAAATCGACAAGACTCGTCGGTCAACAAGGCTAATAAACTGGCCGCCGGTGAGCCAGATCTGGCATCGGCAGCCTTACCTAAGGTCGCCGGTGCCACATCCACATCTGGCTCGCCGGCAGCAAGTTTATTAACTTCACCGGATGCTCGTCGGCCGCCCGCAGCGACCTAAAACCTAGCCGGTGACGTGACGTTACGTATGGACATTTTCCGAAATTATGAAAGTTCGGCTAGGGTAAAATTGGAACGTGGAACATTTCGCAACTAGAGCTCCAAGGGCGTTCAAATCTCTCTTCCGACCAAAACAAACACACATTCGGCTTTCTAGTATTCCTCTCCAAAATCCGCCTTTTCTTCATTTGTAGTACCGGGAGCTCGTCTAGGGTTTTGTCTATTTGAGGTTTAGATGAAGGAATGCAGCAAGGGGACTTGGAAGTGTCGGACATCCAAGTGAGCCCACAAGCCGGCAACCTTGCTCATTTGGTTGGCACCATACCCGGTCCTATCGGCACTCCTTGTGAAGCCGGCACTTTCCAAATCGACGTTACTCTTCTCGGTGTATTCCCACCCTTTTGTTAGCTCATTATTTGCTCGGAGTTTCCCACTTTATCGTCCCTCGGGGCCTATCTCGCCTCTCTCGTCGTTTGGAGTTCAGCGTGGTTCGAGGACATTTCGCATATGTTGTTTAGGATTTCCTCCACTTTCATTATCTACTTGGTATCGCGTGGGAGTGATGGTGCATGTGTGTCCATATCTAGATTTTCGAAGATGGCTTAAGCACTGTCCATGTATAATTTCTAGACATCGAATTTTGGTTTTAAGATGACGCGATTAAGTGTGATAATCCGCTTTGTGATCTTTCCATTTTCCCGAGGATGTTGGACACTCTCTCAAAACTGAGCGGTACTCGCCATATATGTGCGCGTGCGCGCCCCTTTGCGTGGGTAGGTTGGAGGGCAACCTCCATAAGAATGGCAAAATTGAACTCAATACGGTGATTTGAAACAAATTTCAATGTCCGCACTACTTGTTTTCTGTTCTGCGCTGTCACATGTGTCATTCTTTCTCATTCATGTGCTATAATTTAGCTGCTATCATAAAGTGCAGAAAGACTTTTATTTTGCACCAACAATGGGCCAATTTGGTTCGGTTTTGGGGAAATGTCTTTAGAAAAATGCAAATAGTGTTTAGTAAACTGTAATCTTAAAGTGTAATGAGAAACGACTTTGGCTTAAATGGTGTTTAGCAGAATCACACATTGAAAAGTATTTTTCCCTTTTTAGGAAAAAAAAAACACACACACACACAAACGGCAAGACTCGTCGGCCGACAAGGCTAATAAACTGGCTGCCGGTGAGCCAGATCTGGCGCCGGCAGCCTTGCCTAAGGTCGTCGATGCCACATCCACATCTGGCTCGCCGGCAGCAAGTTTATTAACTTCACCGGATGCTCGTCGGCCGCCCGCAGCGGCCTAAAACCTAGCCGGTGACGTGACATTACATATGGACATTATGAAAGTTCGGCTAGGTTAAAATTGGAACGTGGATCATTTTGCAACTAGAGCTCTAAGGGCGTTCAAATCTCTCTTCCGACCAAAACAAACACACACTCCACTTTCGAGTATTCTTCTCCAAAATTCACCTTTTTCTTCGTTTCCAGTACCGGGAGCTTGTCTAGGGTATCGTCCATTTGAGGTTAAGATGAAGGAATGCAGCAAGGGGACTTGGAAGCGTCGGACATTCAAGTGAGCCCACAAATCGGCAACCTTGCTCGTTTGGTTGGGACCATACCCGGTCCTATCGGCACTCCTTGTGAGGCCGGCACTTTCCAAATCGACGTCACTCTTCCCGGTGCATTCCCACCCTTTTGTTAGCTCATTATTTACTTGGAGTTTCCCACTTTATCGTCCCTCGGGGCCTATCTCGCCTCTCTCGTCGTTTGGAGTTCAGTGTGGTTCGAGGGCATTTCGCATATGTTGTTTAGGATTTCCTCCACTTTCATTATCTACTTGGTATCGCGTGGAGTGATAGTGCCTCTGTGTCCATACCTAGATTTTCGAAGATGGCTTAAGCACTGTCCACGGATAATTTCTAGACATCGAATTTTGGTTCTAAGATGACGCGATTAAGTGTGATAATCCGCTTTATGATCTTTCTATTTTCCCGAGGATGTTGGACTCTCTCTCAAAACTGAGCGGTACTTGCCATATGTGTGCGCACGTACGCGCCCATTTGCGTGGGTGGGTTGGAGGGCATCCTCCATAAGAATGGAAAAATTGAACTCAATACAGTGATTTGAAAAACATTCCAATATCCGCACTGCTTGTTTTTTGCTCTGCGCTGTCACATGTGCCTTTCTTTCTCATTCATGTGCTATAATTAAGCTGATGTCATAAAGTGCAGAAAGACTTTTATTTTACACCAACAATGGGCCAGTTTGGTTCGATTTTGGGGAAATATCTTTAGGAAAATGCAAATAGTGTTTAGTAAATTGTAAACTTAAAGTGCAATGAGAAACGACTTTGGCTTAAATGGTGTTTAGCAAAATCACACATTGAAAAGTACTTTTCCCTTTTTAGGAAAAAAAAACACACACAAAATCGGCAAGACTCGTCAGCTGACAAGGCTAATAAACTGGCTGCCGGTGAGCCAGATCTAGCGCCGGCAGCCTTGCCTGAGGTCACCGGTGCCACATCCACATCTGGCTCGCCGGCAGCAAGTTTATTAACTTCACCGGATGCTCGTTTGTCGCCCGCAGCGGCCTAAAACCTAGCCAATGAAGTGACGTTACGTATGAACATTTTCCGAAATTATGAAAGTTCGGCTAGTGTAAAATTGGAACGTGGAACATTTTACAACTAGAGCTCCATGGGCGTTCAAATATCTCTTCCGACCAAAACAAACACACATTCGGCTTTCTAGTATTCCTCTCCAAAATCCGCCTTTTCTTCATTTGTAGTACCGGGAGCTCGTCCAGGGTTTCGTCCATTTGAGGTTAAGATGAAGGAATGCAGCAAGGGGACTTGAAAGCGTCGGACATCCAAGTGAGCCCACAAACCGGCAACCTTGCTCGTTCGGTTGGCACCATACCCGATCCTATCGGCACTCCTTGTGAAGCCAGCACTTTCCAAATCGACATCACTTTTTCCCGGTGCATTCCCACCCTTTTGTTAACTCATTATTTGCTCAGAGTTTCTCACTTTATCGTCCCTCGGGGCCTATCTCGCCTCTCTCGTCTTTTGGAGTTCAGTGTGATTCGAGGACATCTCGCCTATGTTGTTTAGGATTTCCTCGACTTTCATTATCTACTTGGTATCACGTGGGAGTGATAGTGCCTATGTGTCCATGCCTAGATTTTCGAAGATGGCTTAAGCACTGTCCATGTATAATTTCTAGACATCGAATTTTGGTTTTAAGATGACGCGATTAAGTGTGACAGTCCCGCTATGTGATCTTTCCATTTTCCCGAGAATGTTGGACTCTCTCTCAAAACTGAGCAATACTCGCCATATGTGTGCCCGCACGCCCCTTTGCGTGGGTGGGTTGGAGGACATCCTCCATAAGAATGGAAAAATTGAACTCAATACGGTGATTTGAAAAACATTCCAATGTTTGCATGCTTGTTTTCTGTTCTGTGCTGTCACATGTGCCATTCTTTCTCATTCATGTGCTATAATTTAGCTGCTATCATTAAGTGCAAAAAGACTTTCATTTACACCAACAATGGGCCAGTTTGGTTCGATTTTTGAGAAATGCCTTTAGGAAAATGTAAATAGTATTTAGTAAATTGTAATCTTAAAGTGCAATGAGAAACGACTTTGGCTTAAATGGTGTTTAGCAAAATCACACAATGAAAAGTATTTTTCCCTTTGTAGGAAAAAAAAAAAACACACACACACAAAACCGGCAAGACACGTCGACCGACAAGGCTAATAAACTGGCTGCCGGTGAGCCAGATCTGGCGCCGGCAGCCTTGCCTGAGGTTGCCGGTGCCACATCCACATCTGGCTCGCCAGCAGCAAGTTTATTAACTTCATCGGATGCTCGTTCGTCGCCCGCAGCGGCCTAAAACCTAGCCGGTGAAGTGACGTTACGTATGGACATTTTTCGAAATTATGAAAGTTCGGCTAGGGTAAAATTGGAACATGGAACATTTCGCAACTAGAGCTCCAAGGGCGTTCAAATCTCTCTTCCGACCAAAACAAACACACATTCGGCTTTCTAGTATTCCTCTCCAAAATCCGCCTTTTCTTCATTTGTAGTACCGGGAGCTCGTCCAGGGTTTCGTCCATTTGAGGTTAAGATGAAGGAATGCAGCAAGGGGACTTGGAAGTGTCGGACATCCAAGTGAGCCCACAAGCCGGCAACCTTGCTCATTTGGTTGGCACCATACCCGGTCCTATCGGCACTCCTTGTGAAGCCGGCACTTTCCAAATCGACGTTACTCTTCCCGGTGCATTCCCACCCTTTTGTTAGCTCATTATTTGCTCGGAGTTTCCCACTTTATCGTCCCTC